AGAGAACATACAGACAGCAGAGGGTCTGCAAGATAGCTCAGGGGATGTGCTGGATAGCTTTAGTGTCAACTTGACACACCTGGGTTGAGGGAGCCTCAATTGGGAAATTGCCTTTATTGGACTGGCCTGTGGCCATGTCTATGGGGCATCTTATTGATTGTTGAATGATGTGGGAGGGCACCCCTGGGCAGGTAGGCCCTTTGTTCCATAAGAAAGCAGGCTGAGCAGGGGTCATGGGCACAAGCCAATAAGTAGTGTTCCTCCATGGCCTGTGCTCCAGCTCCTGCCTCCAGGTTCCTGCTCTGCTCTGAATTCCTACCTTGGAGGCTGTGCAGGGCCCAAGGGAGCAAGCCAGTAGCAGCATTCCTCCATAGCCTGTGCTCTAGCTTCTTCCACCAGTGTTCTGCCTTGAATTCCTACCTTGGGCTCACTGATGAACTGTGACCTGGGAGATGTAAGCCAAATAAACCCTTTCCTCCCCAAGTTGGTATTGGTCAGAGTACTTTTGTTGCAGCAATGAAGAAACAAACTAGGACAGGGGATAAAGGTACTTGCCATCAAGCCTGATGACCTGAGTTCAATCCCTGAGACCCACATGGTTGAAGAAGATAACTAACTCTTGCAAGGACACATAGAGTAAATGTTTAAAAATTTTTAAAACAAAACCGACAGCAGAACATTAAACCAAGCATAGGCCCTTTGAGCAAGGGGCCCATTGTGACTGCACAGGGCACACACCTATGCCACTGGCCCTACAATCTGCAGCCGCCATCTCCTGGAGGGAGAAGTCTCGTCCATCCTCCTACCACTGGTTCCACCAAGAAGCCGTCAGCCACCTCCTCTCCACATTACTTATTTCTAAAGTTTCTTCCTCCAAGGCTCCTTGTCTTCCCACCCACTTCCTTCTCTGTCCATACAAGTCTTCATCACTCCAGTTTTTGAACTCAGCATCAACGATGTCTACTCTCCACTAAAGGTGGGGTAGGGAGGAACCTGAGCAGACAATAACTATCTTCTCCCCACAGAGAGTGGGGTTAGGGTTAGAGAGAAAGCAAGGAACCCTGCACTTTCAGTGTATAGCTGGCCACTCACAGGTTCCAGGTAGAAACACAACGCAGGGTAAAGGGACAAAGAAGGGTGGGTCTAGGCATGGAAGGCTGAACAACCAGTTCATATTGAGGAAGAAACATTTTCACAGAGAAAAGAAATGAGGAATGAGTCATAAGGCAGTCTGGTAGAAGAACATTCCAGGCAGAGAGCAACTATGGAAATCCAGTTGGGTTCCCTAAGCAATAAAAATGGGCAGTGTACTCGGAGGAGTATAAACAAGAAGGGAAGTAGCTGAGGCTAGACCCATCATGTATAGCTTTATAGTCAACAGGAATAACTTGTAACGGGGGTGGGTGGAGAAAGTCCTGGAAGGTTTCAAGTAGAAAAGACTCTGGTCTAACATTTTTTAAAAGAATAAATTCTACAGTTCACTGACTAACCTGGCAGGTCTTCAGAAGGTTAAGCATAAACTACTGTAAGACCCAGCAAATCCACACCCAGGAACCTACCCAAGAGAAATGAAAACATGTAGCCACACAACAAGTTGCATGTGGATGTTGGGGGCAGTATGACATTTAATGGAAACTACCCCCAGATGGTCAGTCCATAGAAAGGAGTGAAATATTGGTGCATGCTGCAACACACATGAATCCTGGAAGCATTTTGCTAAATGCAAGAAAGACACAAGGAATAAATATTGAATGATTCCCTTTATAGAAATGCCCATGCTAGGGAAATCCACAGAGATAAAAAAGTTATCAGTGGCTGCAAGGGGTCAGGAGGGATGTGATAGGGTGAATAATGGTGGCTAAAGTGGGCAAAATTTCTTGGGGGGGGTAATAAAAATGTTCTTTTTAAAATGTTTTTAAAGATTTTTTAAA